AAGGCAAACCGATCCCGTCAGAGACACAGGCAACTGAGAGTCTCCAGCAGACCTTGTGCTTCGGAGATGCCACGCCATGGCGAGAACTGCCCTCCTCTTAATTCCCTTCCCCTGGCTAAGCTGCTAAGGCGTGGTGATTCTTGGGGTCTTCCTGGTGTCTGGTGACCTGAAAGCTTGTGCCCCAAGCTTTGGCACCTGCATGGCCTGGCTGCCACCCCTCGGCTCTGCCCCCGCCTGGGCTGCTCTGGGCCCCAGCTGCCGCCCTTTGGCTCTGCCCCCGCCTGGGCTGCCCTGGGCCCCAGCAGCCAAGGCCTCAACGGCACCCAGAGCCAGGGGAAGGAGCACTTCCAGTGTTTTCAGACAGACAAGCCTCTGTGAACAGGCCTTAGGTTCTGGAAGCCCAGGCTCTCCCGGCTGGCATTGGTCAGAAAGTCAGTGCCCCTGCTCACAGTGTGGGTCCCCTAGGCTCTGTGGCGGCCCGACTGTCAGCTTGGGACAGCCTTTTCCAGGTGCTTGGGGAGCAAACAGCTGCCCTCAAACTCATGGGAATTCACTTCCAGGCAGCAAGCGAGCCCGGGGCGTTTGTCCAGGCCCAGGTCCCTTGTTCTGCAAGTTGGAGCCCAGTCAGTGTCGATGAGCCAGTCAGCTGCGTGTCTGAGGGCAGAGCTTTGTCCTCAGTGTGAAGCCACGGGGGCCCTGGGTCCCCTTCGTCAGGAGCCATGGAGACCCCGGCCCACCACACTTCGATGCTCAGACCACTGTTCTGAGGCGTGAAGTGGCCCAGAGGCGAGGCCCCTCCTCCAGAGGATGCCCGCCACGCAGAGGACGCCCGCCACACAGAGGACGCCCGCCACGCAGAGGACGCCCGCCACGCAGAGGACGCCCGCCACACAGAGGACGCCTGCCACACAGAGGACGCCTGCCACGCACACAGCTCCTGGTGCAGCTGTGCAAGGAAGTCTGCATGCTGAACTGAAGCACTCGGGCACAGCCCACCTCCCATGCCAGTTCTCTCTTGCATGAGGGCAAGAAAGTGCGGATACCATCCCAGGAAAACGGGAGAGCCACGGAGCCAGGTGGGACCCAAGGCACCACCCCTGCCGCGCCTGGGCCACCCTCAGATATGGAGATAAGAGGACCTTGATAGACCCCACAGTGCCTGTGCCCACGGAGCCTGCTGGTGGTCCCCTCACCCTGAGACACGGTTTCCACCCACCCCCAGCTCTCAGAGCACTCAGGGAGAAGCAGTGGCTGCTGCAACAAGCCTGAGACCCCTGCAACTGCTCACAGGGGCACCAGGCTGTGACCCAGCTCCAGGGCGAAGCTCTCCCCTTTGAGTTTTCTCCTGCAGAGGGAGGACCTGTCGCGAGTAATTCCATGTGTTTACAGGTGGGGAGGAAGGGCCACTGATGTAGGCGAGGGGACCCTAATGCCGGGAGGGTGGAGGAGGTTGTGGCTCGGAGGGAGGCCTGGCGGCGCCGCCTGCTTGAACACCATGTTAGCCGGTGCTTTCGGGGACTTTGGGGCTTGGGTCTGTCCTGAGCCACTATGTAGGGGGCTATCACTGCAGGGTAGACAGCAGGCCTCTGGGGCCAAGGGAGAGAAACGGGGTATCCACAGAGCGTCTCCTTCTGCCGCATAAGACTGTCAGACGCTTCGAGTTTCCAGGTGGCAGATTTGGGGACGTGTGTCCCAGGACACACGGGCATCGGGAGAGGAGCTGCTGCAGCCGCACGCTGCGAGGCTGGAACGTCGCCGACGGGCCTGGAAAGTTCCGGCACTCTGAGCAGAGCGGGAGGGTAGCACGGGCAGTGGGTCCCCGGCTCCCTTTGGGTCTGGTGCGTTTATCGGCCTGTCTGTGCCTTTTTTTTTTTTTTTTAAGAATTAATTTTGGGCTGAAAAGCCTCAAAGAAGGCTTTGTTCCTTTGACACTTGCTCTGGAAGAAAAAAAAAATCCGTGGAAAATCTGACATCTGCAATGTAGAGATAAATCAATAGATGGGAGGAATATAATTATCTTCCACTCCTGAAAGAATTTTTCAGATTTTTAAGTGTCTCATATCAGCTTAGAATTTGAATGACATTTTAATTATTTTGTTTTTTTCTTCTTTTCCTGGTTTGAATCTCCATAGAGTTCCACTCTCGGATTCTGCAGGGAGCAGAGCTGGTGCTCGTGTGGGGGGAGCGGGGGCGGTGGCTGTGCCCCTGCCCGGTGGAGCTGTGCATTTCATCAGAAGCAGTGGCTGCCTTGGGCATGGGCAGTGCCTTGAGTAGTGGGGCCTGCTCCACCCAGTCAGCTGGACACCCTCGGCTGTTTTCATGCACGTTTGCAGGACAGGCGCCCAAGCAGGAAACAGTCTCTGGTGTTTTTGTGATCTGAGCAAACCCAGCTTCCAGAAGACCTGACTCGGTTTTTAAGGCAGTTCACCCTTCAGGTCTTTAAACAGTAACACTCCGGGGTGTTTGGTGCCCTCCCTGCCATTGGGGGTGCAGGGCGTGTGAGGGCGGGGGCGTGCAGCAAGACCCTAGAGGCGGTGATGCCAGACCCAGACGTGGCCCCGCCAGACACAACCTTCACAGTGTGCGGGGTGGCGGAGCTTGAGAACCCCGCCGAGGTGCGTCTGTGGACCGTGCAGCCTGCGTGTAGGTGGTGTCCCATCTGGCTCACACACGGAGCAGGTGCCTGTTGCTTGATGTTCCTGTAGGGCCAGGTTGGGCTCTTGGTCCCACTCCCCTGCCGTTTCTCATTCGTGTCCCTCTCAGCCACGTGCCGTCCTTCAGGGCGCAGCGCAGCCTCTCCTGGCTGTCCCACTCCCCCGCCAGTCCCGAAGGCCCCATGTTCCAAACTCGGAATTGGACACACCCCTCGGCTGCCCAGGTCGTCCTGCACAGACAGCAGCAGAGCCTGCTGCCTTCTCCGTCACATGTAGCCAGAGAACCCGGCGGCTCCCGTGCTGCCTGGCCCTGGCTTGGAGCCCGCAGCCACCCCGAAGGCCGTCCCACGTGTGGTCGGTTTTGTGTCAGCCTGGCTGGGCTGGGGTCCCTGGTCCGTCACCAGATGCTGGCCTCCGTGCTGCTGGGAGGTATTAATGTTTTGCAGACGTGGCTCCAGCCCATGATGGGCTGACCTGGGGAGGAGGAGTCTACTGGGAGCCTGAGGCTGACCCGACCGGGCAGGAGACCGAGGCTGGAGGTGGGGCTCCCTGGAGAGGAGGAAATTCCACCCCAGCGGCAGCTCCGGCCCCTGCCCTGGAGGTCCTGACGGCCCCCACAGGCCTCAGGCTGCATCCCCCACCGTCTGGAGGCCAGTCTCCCACAGTGGGACCGCAGCTGGCGCCGTGGTGGAAGGGAGCCTGCATTCCAGGGACTCCTGGGCCTCCCGCTGCGGCCTCCTCAGCCCTGCTGCGCCTCATGCTCCTGCCTGAGGAGTGCACCCTCAACCTCCTCTTCTTCCCTCGTGGCCATGCCCACCCTGCCCCAGGGCTCCCCGCCCAGGCCAGCCCTGTCAGCTCTGTCCAGACACGAGCCAGCCTCCGCTGTGAACAGTTGTGTTCCCCGAATTCCATTTCACATGGAAACCCTGACCCCAGTGTCATGGTACCAGGAACCAGGCCCAACACCCCAGCACGCCCACGGAGGGAGCACTGGCTGATGGGAGGCGGCCGTTATGAAACTGTCCCCAGAGAGACCCTCACCCTCTTCCCACCATGTGGGCAGCAGCGAGACAGCACCACCTGCAGGCCAGTGCAGCTGCCCCAGAGCCCACCATGCTACACCGACCGTAGCCGTCGGCTCTGAACCTGCGGCATGGATTCCTGTCCTTTATGTGCCGCCGCGTCTGCCACGCCTGGTGGCTGTCCTGCCTCTCTGCACCTTGTCGCACCTGCGCCTGTAGCACACGGCCTCTATGGGGTGGTGCGGGACCCAGCACCTCACGGGCACTCAGTGCTTATGTGCCAGATGGACAGTCGAGTGGACAGGGGACGGGCGGGCGGACGGCCCGGTGGACGGGGGGACGGGCGGGCGGACGGCCCGGTGGACAGGTAGATGGAGCCCAGGGGATTTGGCCGGGAGTGGCTGTAGCAGCAGAAACCCCCGTCATGGAGGAGGGCTCACCCGCGTCTGTGCAGTCCTACCTCGGACGCAGCCAGTGTGAGAGACGCTGGATGTGAATCTGTGTCTCAGCGGTGATTTTAGGGTGGGCGGGAGGAGGGGGCAATTGTTTCTGACTTGTGAAGGGATCATCTGAAGCCCTGAGTGCCCCAGGGAAAGCGGATGGGTGTGGGAGCCGACCCCTCCCTGGATGCTTCACTGTGGCCCAGCACTGCAGAACCGCCGCCCCCACAGCCTCCCTGCCCAAGTCCCACCTTCCCCAGTGCTGACGGCTCCCTCTGCAGGCCCCTGGAAGCTTCTCCTGTGCCCCAGGCATCCTCACAGCAGCCAGTTGCAGTGTGTGGGAGACACACGGGGCCTGCGCCCGGGCCCCCTTTGTGCCGCAGGGGGCGTGGCTGAGGCACATGTGCACTGGGCGCTCCCTCCTGACTTTGGGCTCATCCTGGAGGCTCTGAGAAGCTTCCCTCTGACACTGTCCGTGGGGAGGCTCTGAGAAGCTTCCCTCTGACACTGTCCGTGGGGTCTGTGCAGCGCGTGCTGCATTTCTCCTCTTTAAAGACACGCACCTTCCGTAGCGTGATGATGCCCGGAGCTCTGAGAATGAGTGTTGGGGAAGGCGCACCAGGCGCTGACTAGAAAAAGGAAGCCACTGTTGCTCACGCCCGCGGTGTGCACTTCACTCCTGTTCATCAAAGCAGCCCTGAATCGGCCCTTCCCAAATTCCCTCTTCCCAGGTGTTTCATACGTAAGGCCCCCTCTCTCACGGCACCTGCAGCCCAGATCCACGGCCCTCGTGGACGGTTCGTCTTCCCGGGAAGCTGTTTCTGTTGGGGCTGCCGCGTCCCCAGCCCCCGTGACTGACTCGCCCTCTGCTGTCTTCCTTGCAGGGCCTGATCAAGATCCGGGGCGACCGGTGCTGGCGAGACCTCACCTGCATGGACTTCCACTACGAGGTGAGCGTGCCATGCAGGGTGAGGGCAGAGCACCCGGCGTCACGCCGTCCCATTCCCACTCTTGGTGGGGCTCAGTCCTGCACACCCTGGTGAGCTGTCGCGTCACAGGGTCACCCCCAATTGATTCAGGACACCCTCTCCTTCCTTTCTCCGGGTGGGGTGGTCACACGGGGGCTTGCAGGCGCCCCTCACTTGCTGGGGCCGCAGGGACGGGGTCCGTGGCCCTCCATGGTCTCGAGTGCAGCTGGTTTGCTCTGGTTCCTGCACCGGCACCCTCTGCTGCTGTCCTCGGTCCTGCCCAGGCCTCCAGGCCAGCCCCTCCTTCCTGGAGTCCACAGCTCCCCACCGTCCCGACAGGTGCCTCTTGGGGGCTTCCTGGCTGTGTGCCCAGCCCCTGCCATGCAGAGCTGTGGCTCCATCATTACCTGGACACGGGCAGGTGTGCGCCACAGGGCAGGTGTGAACCACAGCATGGTTCCACTGTGCTTGGCCCCCAGGCCCAGGCTGAGTCCCTTTAGACACCCCGGTTCCTGCCATCTGCTCACAGGTTCGCGTAGGGGCTGGGAGTGACCTGGGGCCTGGAGCTCACAAGTTCACGTAGGGGCTGGGAGTGGTCTGGGGCCTGGAGCTTGGATAGTCATTTGCTCTCAGTCCATGTGGGAGCTTCCTGGTAGCAGCATCCCCACCCTGGGCCTGTGTGGTCATGGCCACGGTGCACCTAGAGCATCTCAGGCCTGGACACCCTTCCTGCGTTCGGCCAGCGCTCACACCTGCACGTGGAAGCCGTCGTTGTCCGCGTGCCGCCGACAGCCCGTGGCAACTGTCTCATTGCCTTTGCATTTTCTGCCAGGGTTGCTCTGGCACTCACCGCCTCCACGCGTGGAGCTGGTGCCGTTCTCACGTGGCGCCTCTGCTGCAATTCCGTGTCTTGGTCCACGTGCCGGCCTGGGACAGGCATTTGTGCCTGCATTTACATTTAGTGGCTGTGTCCTGACTTTATTCTTCAGGCTCTTGAGATCACTCCGTACCCCATCAAATGCCCCGCCTTGCTGAGGACCTGTGAGCTCCTCTCTCTCTGAGACCAGGTTCTGCTGACGGTCAGTGAGATACTAGAAAGCGAACGCTCTCAGCTCTGTGGCTGGATAGTCCCAACACAGCTGTGACAGGCAGCAGCCGCAGAGCACACGTGCGTGAGAGGCTATCGCCAACAAAGCTTGCACACCACAGCCCACGCCGGCCACCCTGCCCCCAAGAAGGTCCAGCGCCCTCAGCCCAGGTCAGGAAAGCTGAGGGGACCCGTGTGTCCAGACACCCTCAGGACAGGTCAGAAAAGTTAGGGGGGACCCTGTGTCTCCCCCATCACCCTCAGGACAGGTCAGCAGAGCTGAGGGGCCCCATGTAAGGTGCCCTCAGGACGGGTCAAGACAGTGTGGGGAGGTCCCGTGTCTCCAGACGCCCTCAGGACAGGTCAGGAAAGCTGGGTGGGCCCTGTGTCTCCAGGTCAGAAGCTCCACAGCACATCTCACGGAGCCCGCTGGCTCGGCACAGGTGGGGACAGCAGTGGTGCCCTGGGCTCAGATCCACAAAGGCTGGGTGCTGGTGAGGACCATCCCATGCAGGTTTCCATTGGCAAGAGACACTGAGGTGCCCACCTGTGTCCCCACAAACACTCTGATGCCTTCTCTACGCAGTGGCTGCATTTTACAGCTGCTGTCAGGCATCCTGGGCTGTGTCTCTTCAGTGAACGTGGCTGCCCTGGGCCCGGGAGTGTCTCAGGATCCCCAGGACTCACCTGGCCAGGACCACCAGGGTGTGGTGTCTGAGGGGCGGGTCACACCACAGCTGCGCTCCGGCGAGGACGCAGGTCGCAACTCTTGGGGAGGCTGGCCGGGGGGCCCCACAGCTGCCTGTCAGCACTGCCTTCCCCTGTGTCCACGCGGCCAGCTGGGATGCGGTGGGTCCCTTCCCGCCCCCGTGAGCACCCAGTTCTTCCTGTGCCCCAGAGGCCCAGGACTGCCCCTCACCGGAGCTCTCTGCTGTGTTGTGTGTGAGGAGTGCTCTGTGTCCGCCGCCAACTCCACCAGTTCAGACACGGCCCAAGACAGTGGACGGAGTGGGCCCAGGCTGGAGCACAGAGGCAGGGGCAGCCCGGGCCTGAGGGATGGCCCTGGATATCTCAAGGCACCCTCAGTGTCACTGCTACCCGAAGGGTTGGCCGCAGCGGTGTCCGGGCCACAGACAGGGCCTGCAGGCAGGGCCCAAACCCACTCTCCCTGTAGCTTGCAGCGTGGCTTTATCTGGGACCGCCTTGTGATTAGTTAAGATGAAGTCAGCATGGACTGTGCTGAGCCCCAAAGCCAACGACTGTGTCCTTAGAAGAGGCCCAGACACATGGGGGGTCCTGTACCCACATGGCTGAACTTCCGGAAGCTGCAGCCTCCTGGGAGGTTGGATTGTGGCTGGGGCCCCTCCCCTCTCCAGACACTGAGGCTGCAGTGCAGGGTGTGCAAGGTCAGGGCCCTTTTCATCCACATCCCAGGACAGGCTGAGCCTTGGCTCACGGAGAGCCTTGAGCCTGATGTCCTGATGGTCACATAGGGTCCAGGGCCAAGCCGGGCAGCTTGAGGCTCTGGCGGCAGCTGCTGTCCTGGCGGGTGGGGCCGCTCCCCCTGCCCCCCCGCCCCACCCAGCTGCAGAGACTGTCCTCGGGGAATTGTGTTTCAAATCCCACCATGACCTGAACAGGCATGGGGGAGCCCCGCTGAGCTGGGAGAGGGCCCAGGAACCCCTTTTCTTGCATCCCGGGGGCCTCTTGGGCCTCCAGGAGCGAGTACCTGGAGCAGCCAGTGTTCAGAGCAGTGCGGCGCCATGCCTGCAGCGGGTGGACCGCCGTGACAGGGCTCTTTGCGGTTCACTGTGTCCCCTGGGGCAGGGATGGCCCACATACCGGCCTCAGGGGCCTGGACTCCACTCGACAGATGGAGCAGTGGCCATGGCCAGTCCAAGGCCAGGTACAGGGGGCAGAGTGTGGGGAGAGCGAGGACATCACGTCTGGGGACAGCTACATGGGGGCCCCGGGAGAGGGATGCACAGGTGGACAGCGGCCATGAGGCAGAGTGGCCCTCAGCTGGGACGGGAGCTGCAGCCCCCTCTCACCTCAGACTTGTCTCTCAGACAAGGACGCTCCCTCCCGTGTATCTTGAGGACGAGGCACTGGTGAAGGTTTCAGGAAGTCAGGGTGTCATCTGCGCGCCCAGGGCCGTGCATGAATCCTCTCTCCGAGGAGGACCTGATTCCGGAAGGTGGCAGGGCCCCTGCCTGCAGCCCCTGAGCCTCGCCGTCTGCCCCACAGCATCGTGGGTGGGGGCCTCAGGCCCTTTTGCTGTCTTTCCGCTTCTTGCTGGTCAGATAAGGAGTCGGGGGTGCCCCTTTCTAGGAGAGTTGCCCCTATGCTGTGGGGGACGCTGAGCCCCTTCAGGAGCCTGGAAACCTCCGGAAGTTTCAGCAGCACAGAGCGAAAGGCAGCCATGCACCCTGGGGACTCCTCCCTCCGGGCTCGAGCTCCGAGTGTGCGGACTTCTCTCCCCAGAAGGAACTGCTCGGCCATGGCTGTCCGCAGCCTCACACCCCAGACTCGCCGCTGTTTTCATCTGCTGGTAACGAAAGGCAGTTGCCAGCAAATTCAGTCGGTTAAGCCAGAAGCAGCAGGGGAGGCGTCCTCAAGTTCCAAGAGAAGAGGCCAGTTCCCCGGAGGGTGAAAGGCGACAGGGCAGCTCTGCCTGAAACTCCCGACAAGCCTGTGGCCTTCCACGCGTGGTGTTCCCAGATCTCCGTAGACTCCACCAGGATGTCCTGCATCTCACTCAGCTCTGACGTCCTCTACCCAGAGTGAGTGCAGACCCCGCAGGCCAAGGGCTCGGTCCCACGAGACACTGGGGATGCATTGACGGCCGCTTGCTCTCAGCCAGCAGAAGGACCAGAGCCATGTCCTCAGCCCTGTCCCAAGGACCCCCAGGATCCCAGGGCCAGCACAGGACAAGGGTTGGTGACCGGGGACGGGCGCCATCCGGAATGCAGCGGGCTGTGGGGAGGGTTGCTGCGGTCCCCACGTCAGAGTGGTCTCCTGATGACACGGATGCAACAGCAGGTTGTGAATGCGGGGGTCACGCAGCTGCTTTGAGCAGCAGGGATGGCACTGGCTGCTGAAATGGAAAATCCAGGCCTGTCCTCTGTCTGCACTTGGGTTTTAGGAAGTCAGCTGTCATCGAGAAGGATGGGGTGAGGACTCCCACGAATGGTTTTGATGCAGAGAAGACTCCCTGGATCTGGAGTACATGGACCCTGAACATTGCAAACAAATCTCTGTTGCTTTTTAGGGGAGTTGAACGTGACTCTGTTGCTAGAGAGCTGCAGGAGTCTAGCACCATCATTCAGTCCCACGGTGCTCCTTCCACACCCCTTCCAGAGCTGCTTCCCAGACGCGGCACAGGGCAGCCCCTGCCAGGGCCTGGGCGGGCAGGGACCCACGGCCACTTCCCTTGCTGCCGGCAGGAGTACCCCACTGAGCTCCACCCCCTGCACCCCAAGGCTTGGCCCGAGGTCAGGCCTGTCTGTGAGTTTGGGCCGATGTTGTGGAGAACGACAAGTCTGTCTGCTGAAGGACGCTCTCAGGGCTACAGACAAGTCCCGTGATGGCACGGAGCCTCCCAGAGTCGGCTCACTACCAGGGACCACGCCACGCACCACAGACCCTCAGGGAGCTGCCTAGGCAGGGCGGGGGTCCCCTGGATCTGCCTGGGGCCCCCTGACACTCCTGGAGCCAGGGTCTCCCAGCCTGCGGCCGGCAGCCTGCGGCTTGGGGGTGCGTCTCTGGCTCCCACACATGTGGGCGGAGTTTTAGACCAGTGGTGAGAGAGATCCGGAAGCACTGCCCCTGCCCGTGGTCACTCTCTGCACCCTGACTCCAGGCCCAGGCCACGGCCATGCCTTCCAGGGTGCCT